GATCCAACACCCACCATGAGCAAAACACTCATATACATAAAGTAAAAATGTTTAAAGTCACCATAGATCATAGTATCATGGCAATATATTTTTCATCTCTTCAATCAGTCACAACAGTTGCGGGACACAGAAAAAAAGCTTTGAATTAGGGAGTATATCAATGTAGGGGTTTCTCTTTATGACTTAAACAAGGGGAGAGGGATTTATTACCTACAGGAGTCAAGGAAAGCAGGGAGTTAAGTAGATGGGAATGTCTCTGGGCATGCTCAGTTTGCGCCTCGAAGTGGAAGCTAAAGACATCAATGTATTAAAACTAAAATGTGTTCATAAGGGAACCCACATTTCTTTGTGGTTTCACAATTGCTGATCAGGAGTCTTGAATAAAATTTAGACTAGCTTTGTGCTTGTCTTGAACAACTGTTCTGAACATGTCAGTGAGCTGTATGAATCCACAGTGAGCTGTTATATCACAAGTTTTAGAAATGAAAGAAAACATTGTAATCTTGTCGAGCCATTCATAGGTGTGTGTGTGTGTGTGTGTGTGTGTGTGTGTGTGTGTATGTGTGTGTGTGTGTAGATCTCAAAATGGAGTTGTGTTTTAGAAGCAAAGACTTTACAGACTACTTCATTTGCAGTTTTATGTTTTAAATCTCAAATGAGTCAGATTATTAAAGTATAGTTTAGCTTATTATACTCTCTGGCCCATGGAGGAAACAGTGAAATCTGTATTACTGTAGTTGGATACTAACTTTTCTGTGCTTCAGTGTCTATGTTCTGAGGTGATAAATAGACAAAATTAAGAGGAATAAATGAGTTTGTTGTGCCAATCACTTAATATTTGGTAAGTAAAGAAATAGTGATCAATTATATTAATATGTACATCAATTACATTAGACAGTAATATAAAATTTTGGGATTCACTCCCCAGCTTAGCACTCCAGGCTCCATTGCTTATCACATGTCTGCTATTTTGGTGTTTGAATTACTCCATTTGTGTATTTTCTCAAGCATCTTCAGCATGTCAGTAGTTAGTTTCATGGTGTTTTCTTGTTCCTCCCTTTGGAAAGCTAGAGCTGTTGGGGTTGGAGAAGGATGTCCCTTTTCCATGTTTTCTGTTCTTGAAGAGCTCTTCTCTCTCTATCTATCATGTATTCCAAGGAAAATGACTCAAATTCAAAATTTGGTCTAATTAGGATTCTGAATTAAGACTGATAGCAGCCTAAGTGAATGCTTGTATGACTTTACTTGCTTTTTAAGGTCTGTGCCCTGTCACAATGGCATTTAGATGGATTACTTGAGGGAGAATTTTGCTCATCATGGGTTCTTGTTTGCTTTTGCTTACAGTTTGCAGTATTGATGTGGGTGTTTACTTATGTTGGTGCCTTGTTCAATGGTCTGACACTGCTGATTTTAGGTAAGTACAAAAGATTGAAAAATACTTAGAGACATTTTGGGTAGAGAATTTATTGTAGGAAAAAAAAAAGTCTTTAAGTAGCTGATACTGTTTTATTGAAATGCTTTGTTAGTTCCTGAAGACTATTCCAGCTAACAGTGACAGACCCACCTCACCTGATGATACACTCTTGAGTTTAAATAGGGCACATGCATTTTATAAAATTTGTGAGGTGATTTGAGTGCTCATAGTTGTTCTTCAGCTGCGCTCCTATCCTCCGCACATTCAGGGTAATGTGAGTATTTACACACACCTTAGGATCATTGCCCAGTTATCTTGATTACTGTTGGCTTGATATTTAGATATTTACTCCCAGAATGAAACCAGTCCCTTTTTTTAAAAATGTTGTGTATTTGCTTTTTCAGCTCTGATTTCACTGTTCAGTATTCCAGTTATTTATGAACGACACCAGGTAATTTCTTAATTGTCAACTGTAGGATATAAAGCTTACAAAAGACCCAATTTCCAGACCTGGTCTTAAGCCTTTATTTGTTGTTATGTAGTAATGTTTGATATTCTTTGGCAATGGTAAATTTTGTAATGCTTTTATCCTCTTTCTTAGGTGCAGATAGATCATTATCTAGGACTTGCAAATAAGAGTGTTAAAGAGGCCATGGCTAAGTAAGTACAACCTGCAACTTCTTTACCATGGGTGAGGGGAGCATTCTCCTACACACCTGAGTCACTTCAGCATGCTCCTCCTAAGTGCCATAATTCTATGTTTGCTTGTTTCCTTCCTTCCTTCCTTCCTTCCTTCCTTCCTTCCTTCCTTCCTTCCTTCCTTCCTTCCTTCCTCAGCAAAGGTGGAAAAATGTTAGTTTGCATTTTGGTAGCATGTTTTAAAGAAGCAGGGAACAAACAAAAATTAACATTTTTCTTTATTTGTAGAATCCAAGCAAAAATCCCTGGATTGAAGCGTAAAACAGAATGAAAAAGCTCCAGACAGTAGGAGTTCATCTATAAGGGGGACACTCATTTGGTAACGGGGGTGGGAGGGTCAGGGATGAGCCTTTGGTGGCCATGCAGCTTCAGCTCTTTATTTTTAGCAGTGTACTGTTTGAGGAAAAATTATTTGTCTTGACTTCCTATGTTTATCATCTTAAGTATTATAAGCTGCTATGTATGGATTTAAATTGTAATCATACTTGTTTTTCCTGTATGAGGCACTGATGAATAAAGTAAGCTGAGAAAGCAGTATATTATATTTTATTGCAGGTAGTTTTGCTGTATTTGGGAAGTCACAAGAAGGTGAAACTGGGGGAAAAAAACTTTTCACAGTGTACTGTGTTGGTGTAAATTGATGCAGATTTTCTGAATGAAATGTTTAGAGGAGATCATACTACTAAAGCAGGAATGAAAATGCTGTCTTTATGGTATGTTCTAGGTGTATTGTGAACTTACTGTTATATTGCCAATATAAGTAAATATAGACATAATCTATATATAGTGTTTCACAAAGCTTAGACCTTTACCTTCCAGCTTCCCCACAGCACTTGACCTCTGAGTCATTGGTTATACAGTGTAGTCTCAAGTACATAAGCTAGGAAGAGAATGTATTTCTAGGAACACTACCATCTGTCTTTAAGGAAACAACACAGAACTCCAGCGTAAATGTCATTGTAAAGACTTACTGTATAGTTAATTGTGTCACAGACTCTGATTCTATGGACTGAATTTAAAACTTCCAAATGTTTGCAGTTATCAAACATAGTTATGCAAGAAATCATAAAATGAAGACTTATGCCATTGTGGTTTAAGCTGTAATGAATTATCTGTGGAATGCATTGTGAACTGTAAAAGCAAAGTTTCAATAAAGCTTATAGACTTAATGTATTTAATGTATGTGTTTAGTGTTTTGGTTTCATGAATGTACAGCAAAACATGTTAATAGGCTGTTTAGAGTAATTGAATGGTAACATGCTTTTAGAAAGGTTCATATAAAACTAAAGAACAAAGAACATATTTACATAGCGAAATTTATTTGACCCATAACAAAAGGTTTTAAATTTTATACTTTGAAAATAAACTCATGCACCAATATTTTAACAGAATATAGTGCAAGATTTATGAATATACATAAAATTATACCACGTAAACTTTACAAATGAGAATTTCAAAAGTCTTTATAACACACACTATTGCTCTTCAAATATATGTGTACATATACCACTGATTAATCAGGTGTCCATCCACATGGTTATTTAAATGCAAGATCTCATCAGAATGAAAAGTCAGTAGTGTGAGATAGGCAGACATGGTCATCAGCATCACCATTTACAGGAAACAGAATTAGGGTTGCTAAAAGGACTTTACTGGGGGTCCAACAACCTACTAGTGGATTAATGTAAGGCATTAATAAATTGGCATGTAAAGTAGCTTAATGAGTAGTCTAATCCTTTTAGAATGCTGAAGCACTTCTGTGGTAAATGTTAATAATCTATTCTTTAACTGAAAATACTTCATTTTATCCTTTCTCAAAATTGACAACTGTAGATATCTAGAAACTCAAGGTCCAGAATTTTAGTGCACAGACCGGAAGGACTCTGGTGTGTGTGCTCAGTGGCCTCGTTCCCACCAGCCTTCTTCCAGTGTAAGGGAACAGAGGAGCTTTAGGATAATATTGTCCAAGTCACATTCTGTCCTACAACTGACTGAAGAAATTAAAGTACATCTTTAAGAGATTTTTTTTTTTTTAAATCTAGATTTAGCCTGCATTGATTATCTGAAACCAGTGGAGCCAGTCCTACCCAAGGGTATAAAACCAAACACAGCCTTTTAGCAAGACAAATCAGCTCACTCATTTGGACATACTGTAGGTTTTCCCCCTTTTACATCTTGTAGAAGTTGTTTTGTTTGAAGGATTTAGGTTAGGGTGTAGATTTGGCACTAACATAAAATCCATGCTACTTCTCACAGAATTGGAGTTCCTCTGCTGCTCAGCATCCTCATAACCACTTTGTCTGAGCAGGTAACTGATGCCTTTAGGAACCCTAGACATACACACGAAACAAGTGATGGAGCCTGCTAATCCCATAGCCCTCCTCAGTTTTGAAGTTTTAGCACCATGTGTAGAAAGGAGACATTGTGGGAGGTGAGGCAGCAGCCCACACATCTGGGAACTTTCAAGGCACTTAATGGATATAAAACTGCAAATGAAACTAAAAAATTAAATTTTTAAACTTATTACATGGCTCTTTTGCTTTTAAAAACTAAATGTGGCAAACAGGCGGTCTGTTTCTGTACTCAAGTGCTTCCAACTTACACTGTCATGTCCAGTGAACATTCTTGAAATATATAGAAAAAGAATAGCAAAACATCTTTGTAAAAGTCTTAATGCAAATTAAAAGCTACATATTGGTTGGGTAACTGAGGCTGTAACTTTTGTCAGTGGGCTACATCATCAGGATTTCGTTGTTAATGTTACTAATAAGTATAGGTTTTAGTCTCCATCCAGAACAGAGGCAAACAGTCTTAATATCGTAGGACTTTATCTTCTTTTGGCATCACCATCTTGTAAAGTCCATATCGTGAGCAAGTCCTACAACCTCACTGGCATTCAGAGCTTGTGTGTGGAGGAGGCACCTCTATATTGCCTGAAGTAGCTGGGGAAATGCGGCGTACTGCACGAGGTTCTGGCATTTACAGACATCGCCACACAAATACACTGAAAAGCAGACCAGTTTTTATAATTTTGCTAGGTCTCCATACACAGTCTTGCCAAATGCTCAAGATATCAAAATGTAAACCAGGTCCTTCCCACCTGTGATAGTCTCCCTTCCCAGTTACCACTTTTACTTTTTGGGGGGGTGGGGCAGTTGGTTGGTATTGGTTTAAGGTTTGGCTGATCACCATATCTCATATCTGGCTTAGGGCTCTTTTTTTTTTTTTTTTTTTTTTTTTTTTTTTTAAGAGTTCTTTGTGTCTGCTTTCACTCCTTTTGCTGCTTTGAGCATCTGTGCAGAATAATGTCTCTGGGGACTTTTGGCAGCCTGACTTCACGCTATCTGTTCTGTTAGTATTGAAAAGGTTTTTATTGGTGCCATTTAAATGAAGCCCTTTTTATATGGTATACACCTGTATCTGAAAGCCTATGTTTTTAGGTTACTATAAGTCTTGTTTAGTAAACAAGGCACCTTGTATTTCCTGCTCTGGGGTAGCTAGTTCATTTAGGTCTCATAGTCCCAGCTTGTTCAGTTTGGCTGTTGTTTTGAATGGGTGTTAATATTCCAAAGGAACTGGTGTGTAAGTACTATCCCAAGCATTATAAGTACCTACAATAGTTGTCATCATGTCTAGAGATGACTTTGTAGGCAGACCATCAGAATGCACTATATTCTTTATAGGTGCCTCTCCTACAACTTAGACCACTAAAAATGTCAACATTTATTTTCAATGTTTTAAAATTAATTTAGTGCATGTGTGTGCGTGAGTGTAGGACTGCAGCATGAGTGTGAGAATCAGGACATTTTCAGGGGTGGAGTCTCTCCATTTGGGTCACTTGAGATTGAACTCACTTCATCGGCAAACACCTTTATCTTGCCAGCCACGTTTTTCTTCTTTATCTCTTCCCCATGAGTTTTTAATTAAACAAAAGACATATTTGTAATAAAGCTTTTCAATATGTCAAAATTGAATTATGATACAATGACCTGGTCCTTTCCAGGAAACCCATGTCAGGAGACCCTTTTCTACCTCAGAAATGAGGCTATTGACCTTTGGGTCAGGTTGGCAGGGTTTCTTCAAAAACAATGGCTTCCCAGCCATGCTTCATGCAGAATAACCTGCTCACTTCACCATGAGGTCAAAAGCTGCCTTGGCTGTCCATGCAAACAGCTAGTGGAGATGTGCTACTGACTAGTGCTAGACCAATCACCTGCCATTCCTCCTGTCAGTTAAGGCAGCACTTGCCTCAGTCACAAGGCTCAGGGTTATTAATATCTTATTTTCTTGGATAGCAATACATCTAGAAGACACTAGCACAGACTAGTAATTCTTAAGGACACATAGATGAAGATTGATTTTAAACGGATTATTCTCAGTGATTGTTTCTACTGTAGTTAGCCATTCTAGATTTCTTGCCTTTTTTGTCCCTCCCAGCAATGTTCAGAATAGCTATCACACAACATGAGCTCAGTAATCCCAGGTCAACATTAGTGGGGACACAGGTCTGTCAAAATTTGTTAGAAACCCCAACGATAGAATATAATGGAGTTCTTGTTTTTTTCTAAGAACTCATGTAATATTTCCTTTTTACTGTCTCACATAAGACCCTTCCTGTGCCCCAGCGGAGCCTGACCCATAGGACACCTGAACTAGACAGAGACAGGCTTGAGCCAGCCAAATTAATAGGGGTACTACCTGAAGTCGTCTCCTCCGGTGCTGACCACATACTTGTCATCATAAGAAAAACGGATGTTTGTCACATGAGCTGAGTGACCAAAGTAACGTTTATGCTTGGCCTGTGAGGAAGAGCAAATGGAAGCAGCTGAGTGCCTGTTATTTCCAGTAACTTGTCAAGATATAGATGCACCAGCCACCCTACTCCCAGAAACTCTTGAGCTCTGTCTGGACAAGGAGTTGATGGGAAGGGTGCCTGCTGTGGCTTGCAGTCTCCCTCTTAGGACTGTGCTCCTCTGATACCCAGGCTCCTGACATTTCACCTGTAACCACAGTACTTCCAGGGTACATCTGCGAACCAGCATTTGTTGCCTGCCTCAGTCTTCCCCTTGTGGCCGTGTTGTCCACCCACCATCTGTCTAATTTCTAGGGCTGCATTTCCAGAGGGACATTAAAACACCAGCCAAATTGCCAGGGCTGGTTTCGTGACAACTCTGATGATCATCTGTACAGGTGCTTCAGACTATATAGGAAGGAGCACAGCCTGGAGGCAGTTCAGGGCTATTTGGGGAGACTCACAAATTTTTCTGTGCATGGAAAATCAAAGAGCTTCACTAGCCCAAAATCATCTCCTGTGACAATGTTCAAGCCAGCATGGGTCACACATGCACAGTTGACATCAGCCTTGTCTGCATTTCGTGGCCAGATTCCAATGACTTCATCTCCTAGAACACTGTTTCAAGAGGGAAAGGTATTAGGAAGATGTGACAGAATTTCCTAGGGTCATTGTCCCCTTTTGGGGTAAGAAGTAGCCAGGAATTCTACATGATTTGGTCATGTGGCAGCCATGGTTGTCCCCTGCCCTGGGCATTTTCACCACCTTGCACTGTTCCTTTTGAAACCCCATTCCATACACTCCAGAAAAGTTTATTCCCATCTTGCTTTTATTTTACTGATGTTGGCAAGGGCAGGGCTCCTGTTGTCTCTTGCCTTGAATAGAGCAGGCATTGTTTCTTAGTTCTATTCCCCAACACTGGAAGCTTTGTTGTCAATGGGCTTGGTCAAAACATCTGAACTTGTTGAATGGGGCTTGGGATTGGTATGAATGATTAGACAAAAAGGACTTGCTGCTTATAAAGCATCAATCAGATAAAACATCCTAAGCCAATGTCAAGCAGTTTTCTGTGCTCACCCCTCCCCTTGGCTCCCCATCCTGAGAAAAGACAGTTTCATCTCAGCTCTTGCTGTCACAAACCCAGAGGCAGAGGAGGTGGGACCTCTTCCTCAAGTAGAGCTCTCTTTAGTCACCTTGTCCAGGAAGCCCAGGTGATCTTCTCGATGACCATGGCTTCAGTTATTTGCTTCCCCAGGGGAACTTCATGCACCTGGCGCTTATAAGCTCCTGTTGACACCTGCAAGCAGAGAGGAACCACATTCATCTGCTTCCTCAGTCTCACAGACTCCCTTAGCTGTCTTTCCCATGTTCAGCCCCAACATCAAACCCAAGCTCAGCTCTGGGCTACAAAGCCTGGACATGGCCCCTGCTAAAGTTCATAGAATGGAGTGTTTCCTAACCCCCAAAGCCTGGACACTGCCCATGGTAAAGTTGAAAGGCTGGGATAGCTTCTACTGCTCTTTACCCTGCTTTCCCAGAGTCCTAACATACTGGTTCTCCATTTGTGACTGCATATGAATAACTGGAAACTGGTTAAAAAACATGCTTTTTTGGCTCAGCTTGTCAACTCAAACCCTGTTGAGTGTGGGCCAAGCAGTCTTTTAACAGTCTCCAGATGATTCTAATACTCATAAAATCCCTGTTCTCAGAGAACCAAGGCATGAAAGTTTTATTGTAGGCAGTGTCTGAGGGACCTGCTTTTCGAAAAGTCCTGTAGAAGACATTGGTCACTGTTTTCACAATGAAGGACATATGCCAGCATCTTAACATCTTAGGCTTCTTCTCTCCCCATGGTAACAATGCCTCTACATAAACTATCCAGGCTTTTCTTTTGTCCTTGGCATGAGCCTGAGTCTTACTCATTTCAGGGAACAGAAATCCCATCTTTTTTGTAAGTTAACTTCTACATAACATACAGACTTGGTCTAAACAGCACTTGCTTAGAAAGGGAGGCAGGTCTAAACTGACACCTCTAAAGGGGTGGCTGGCACCCTTTACTTGCTTCTTTAGCACACAAGTATGACATTTATGATCTAATATTTGCCTTCTTTGTGGAAGACATAATGTACATTGGATCCATCTAAAAGCCCACCTAGCCTAATGCTTTGTTTGAAAAGTGAATATATGCATTCTGCTCTCCTTTTGTAGTGAATATCCAACTCTAGGCCCCCAAATGCTGGCTTCTGAAGGCACTTTTGTTTTTAGCCATCAGATCAGAAGTAGGACTCCGTGCTGGACTCAGTGATGACCTCTCCCGCTCACTCCAGCATGCCACAGCATAAACAATAACAAGTTCAGTGGAGCCCTAGAGAACTAGAAATTAGGATGTTTTAAAAAATACGTTTATGAGTCCATGTGTGCATGTGTGTACATACACACAAGTGCCTGCTATGGTGCATGTATGGAAGCCAGAGGACAATTATGGGAATTAGGTCTCTTATCATGGGGGATGTGGAAGGGTTTGAACTTGGTTGTTGGGCTTAGCTGCAAGCACTGTTACCTGCTGAGCCATTTTCCCAGCCCCAGAAATTAGGAAATTCTGAGAAGGGCTAGTGAAAGTAGGTTGAAAATAATTAGTGATATGTTCCCTGCTATGCATTTTGGTTTTGTTTTTATTTCTTACTAAAGAATGGCTACATATCTATATATATATGATATATAAATTATCCAAGCCTCTGTTCTACATTTATAAAATAGGGGGAAGGAACAGCTCTTGGAAGTTGTCTGTGATGGATAAATTAGTGTGTTGCCTAGCACACAGTCAGCACTCTACTAATAGCACTGTTTTTGTTCCTCTTCTTGGTTGCCCCTGAGACAATTTAACCACAAGCATACCTGAATGTATTTGCTATCTGCAGAAAAGTCCAGCTGAATGACAAAGCTTGGGATATCTTTGCAGTAGCCAATGCGATTCAGACTTGTGCCCTGAGTGAGGTCATAGAAGTCAACCGTGTGCTCAGAAGAGCCCACGGCTATGAATCTGTTGTCTGGGCTGATTCTAGGGAAAAACAAAATCAAGAGTATGGTCCACAAGGAGGCTCTTTGGGGCTGGTCAGACACAAGACAGATCTGGACACACAAAGATGGGCCAGCTTTGTCTCAAGCCCAAAGATAATGAGATTAGTCTCCCGACTCACATGTGTCTGGCTTCTCCCAGGTTCTATGAAATTAAACACATTTTCTGAATCTAATCCCCCAACGTGGGGGAATGGTGGTATGCAGCCTTTTGTAAAATTACAGATACTTTTACCATCTTATGTAAAAATGAATATGAGAGATAGGTACCCTTGTATAGCAACCATTTCAACTTCATTTAATCTAGCTGCCCCCCACACCACCACCACAGTAAGGAGTGTTAATTCTTCTAGCTCAGATCACTCATGTACCTGATGTCTTGGATGGCAGATTTCCGGTCTCGTTTTTTCCCCCAAACTTTCAGGCTGTTTACCAGCAAGATGACAAACTCTCCGTTCTTCATGCCAATAGCCACCATCTCCCCGTCAGGGCTATAGGCTGCACACCTGGCCGCGTGGCCCAGGTTCACCTTATTTAGCAGTTTCTAAATGGATACAAAGAGTCATCTGAACCCTCAAAATGTGGGCTAATTTTGGGGGAAAGTCCTACCTCAGGACAGGGAAGTCAGACTACTTCAGCTGCCACTGAAAGCCACCAGTATTTTCTTATAGTCAACCTCCTTGGGCATCGGGATTAGAGCTGATTGGGGGATAGCACCTTTTAGGACAGGGTTTGGCAAACATTCCCTGTTATATTGTCATAACTGTGCATTGACACTGTAGGGTCTGTGTTCTAACTACTCAGCTTTGTCATGCCAACTATGGGCAGCAGATAATGAGTGTGGCTTCACTTGTTGAAACAGGCAGCGAGCCAGACCCAGGCCTTAGGCTTTGCCAGACTCTTGCTCTTGAAATGGGCTCTCACTTCTATTTGGGTATGCTTGTGTACATTGCTGCCCATACAGAAGTGATATTGATATCAGTCTTGGAAGATTTTTGTAAGTGTTAACAATAGCATTCAGGAAGCATCCAGTATATAGCAGGTTTTCAATGTGTGAAAGCTGCTTTTAGTCACTTTCGTAGCTTAACAACTAAAAGTATAACACACGCATGTGTTTGCATGTCTGTTCTTTGATCATTGCACTGAAAATGTGACCAAACATTTCTTGGCCATTTTGAAACAGAATTTGGGTGTTTGTTCTGGACTGGATAAGACTCAATAACCTTTTTCTTTATATTTTACATTTTCACCCCAGATGAATTTTAAAGCTGCTGTCCCACCCTTCCTGGGACCTGATGGGAACATTTGACATTCTCAAACATTTCTCTCCCTCTACCTCTCGCCTTGTCCTTTCATGAAAAGATAGTGATTCTCAAATCAATTATTCCAGAATTATGAAAATCTAGGGCTCAGCAAAGTGCTTGTCTGATATCCATGAAGCCTTGGTTTGTGCCTAACAGTGCACACCTATGTTCCCAGCACTGGAGAAGTGGAGGCTGGAGAATCAGGAGGGTGAATGTCTTTCTTTATTATATCCTGAGTTCAAGGCCAGTATAGACTGTGAGCCCCCCATCTCAATACAAGTATGTCTAGACAGACGAACTCCTAAAGGGCAGATGGAATGTGTGAGGAACTTTTATTAGACTAACAGAGCTGATTCAGCATACTCCCATCTCTGACTTGACACAGGTCCTCTCTGCTCCAACTGCTATAGGTACATGAGCCAGACAGAGTTGTGGAAGACTGAAGATGTGTCTTTGCCAAGGCTCCTTCTTATTGGTTTAATAAAAAGCTAAATAGCCAGTAGGTAGTCGGGAGGTATAGATGGGACAGAGGACACTGGGAAGAAGAAAGGCCCGGAAGGCATACTGGAAGACAGGTAAAGCTATGAGCCACTTGGCAATACGTGGAGAAATAGAAATGGGTTAATTTAAGTTGTAAGAGCTAGTTAGTAACAAGCCTAAGCTATGGTCAAGCTTTTATAATTAAAAAGTCTCTGCGTCATTATTGGGGAGCTGACAGTCCCAAGGAAAAACACTGACTATTCAGACTAGGCCCCTTACCTTGTCAGCCAGGTCCCAGATCCTTGCTGTGCCATCATTGCTGGCTGAGATGAAGGTGTCCTTGGAGGGGTGTGTGGCCAAGCCCCAGATCGCCCCCTCCATATGTCCGTCAATCAAGATGTTTGAAGCAGCATTTTTTTCACCAACTTCAATTATTTCACCATCTTTGGTTCCTACTAAAATTTTTCCCTGTTATAATAAAATACTATTAGAAAAAGAAAAGTATGACCCCACTTCTCTGAGGTACCCAAAGAAGAGAATGGAGGTTACCAGGGGCATAAGGGAGGGTGAAGGGGGAGGTGGTATTTAATAGAAACTCAGTTTTAATAAGAAAATGTATGGGCTACTCCTGTCTCTGGTCCCCATCGAGAGCACCCTTGGAGCTCTGATACACCCCCACCCATCCCCACCTCCAGCCTACCCCCCCCCACCCTGTGCCCTACACCACCTATGGTCCTGCCGCTCTGGTTGAGCACTGGGACAGAGGGTGGAGCCAACAGTCCACCCTACTTTTGAGACTTCTCGGAGCAACTCTGAATAAAGGAGACCTGACTATCCACGTGGGACCACCTGTAATTTCCACTGGCTTGGTCTCTGACCCCGCCTCCAGTCCTCTGGAGTCCCAGGCCCCTCCCAGAGATCCGCCTATCTCTGTGGGTCCACTTGGAGTTCCTGTAGGCAAGATCCTTGACCCCCAAATCTGGGCCCCTGCCAAAGAACGAGGTCTCAGCAGGAAAGCACCAGTTTCCAGTGAGATCCCACTACCCTGCAAAACCTTCTCAAGTTCAAGCTCAGCCCTCATCCTCTTCTGCTGGCTATTGGCCAGAGCTATTGGCCAGAGGACCACTGTGAGTACCAGCTGGCATCTTCTTCTGGATCCTCATCCTTGACCCCATCCCTGGATCCCTGTCTTCGGAGAAACCTCCTAGAGAGCTTGGACCACACAGAGCTACAGATATTGAATCTCAGATCCACATAAGCCCATCGGGGAAGTACCATAGAGAGAGGGAAGAGACACCACCAACACCTACTGGAAGAAACTATGGGAAGAAGGCAATACAAGAGAACACCTAACAACAGAAAGACAAACATGACACCACCAGAATCTAGGGAATCTACACCAACTAGAATGGAACACAACAACAAAGCAGAGGAAGCAGAAGGGTATGACTTAAAAATCACCATCATAAAAATGATAGAGGCCCTCAAAGAAGATGTGAGAAAATCCCTTAAAGAAATGGAGGAAAAAACAAACAAAAAAGTGGAAGAAATGAACAAATTCCTTAAGGAAAGTATAGAAAGCCAAGAAAAAACAATTAACCAGGTGAAGGAAACGGTTCAAGACTTGAAAACTGAAATTGAGAAAATAAAGGCAACACAAACGGAAGGAAGGCTGGAAATTGAAAAGCTAGGCAAAAAATTGGAAACCACGGACACAAGCATAACCAATAGAATTCAAGAGATGGAAGAGAGAATCTCAGGTGCAGAAGATAAACTAGAAGAAATAGATTCATCGACCAAAGAAAATCATAAATCCAACAAATCCTTAACACAAAACATCCAGGAAATGTGGGACACCATGAAAAGGCCAAACCTAAGAATAATAGGCATTGACGAAGGAGAGGAAGCCCAGCTCAAAGGTGCCGAAAACATATTCAACAAAATCATCGAGGAAAACTTTCCAAATCTGAAGAAGGACATGCCCATGAAAGTACAAGAAGCATACCGAACCCCAAATAGGCTGGACCAAAGAAAAAAGACCCCTCGACATATAATAATCAAAACATCTAGCATACAGAATAAAGAAAGAATATTAAGAGCAGCTAAGGAAAAAGGACAGGTAACATATAAAGGCAGACCTATCAAATTGACTTCTCCATGGAAACCCTCAAGGCCAGAAGGTCCTGGATAGATGTTCTAAAAGTATTAAGAGAACACGGATGCCAGCCTAGGCTACTATATCCAGCAAAACTCTCAATCAATATAGATGGAGAGAACAAGATATTTAATGACAAAACCAGATTTCCCCAATATGTATCTACAAATCCAGCCCTACAGAAAGTATTGGAAGGAAAACTCCAACCCAAGGAAGGTAACTACGCCCACAAAAATGTAGGCAACAGATAATCCAACTACACCAGAAACCAAGGGTGAAGCAGAACAAATATATTCACAATACCACTGCCAACAACAAACCTAAATCAAACAAGCATCAACAATCAATGGACCTTACTCACCCTCAACATTAATGGTTTTAACTCACCTATAAAAAGACACAGGCTAACAGAATGGATACGAAGACAGAATCCATCCTTCTGCTGCATACAAGAAACACATCTTAGCTCCAAAGATAGACATTACCTCAGGGTAATTGAAAAGATTTTCCAATCAAATGGAAATAAGAAGCAAGCAGGCTTAGCTATCCTAATATCTAACAAGTTAGACTTTAAACCAAAATTAGTCAAAAGAGATGAAGACGGTCATCAACACAAAGTCTCAATTCTGAACATCTATGCCCCTAATACAAAGTCACCCACATTCGTAAAAGAAACACTGCTAAAACTCAAAGCTCATATAAAACCTCACACACTTATAGTGGGAGACTTCAATACACCACTCTCAACACTACACAGGACCACAAATCAGAAACTCAACAAAGAAACAAAAGAATTAACAGAAGTTATGTCTCAACTGGGGTTAACAGACATCTATAGAACATTCCATCCAAAGACAAAAGAATATACCTTCTTCTCTGCTCCACATGGAACCTTCTCTAAAATCGACCACATACTAGGAGACATAACAAACCTCAACAGATACAAGAGAATAGGAATAGTCCCCTGTATCTTATCGGACCACCATGCTTTAAAATTGGAATTCAACAACAACACAAATAGCAGAAAACCTGCAAACTCATGGAAACTTAACAATGTGCAATTGCACCACTCTTGGGTCAAAGAAGAAATAAAGAAAGAAATTAAAGACTTTCTAATATTCAACGAGAATGAGGATACAACATACCCGAACTTATGGGACACCTTGAAAGCAGTGCTATGAGGGAAGTTCATTGCACTAAGTGCCCATATGAAGAAAACAGAGGATAGTCACATAAAAGAATTAACAGCCCAACTGAAAACCTTAGAACAGAGAGAAGCGAATTCATCCCGCAGGAGTAGACGCCAGGAAATAATCAACTTGAGGGCTGAAATCAACAAAATAGAAACCAGGAAAACAATACAAAAAATCAATGCAACAAAGAGTTGGTTTTTTGAGAAAATCAACAAGCTAGACAAACCTTTATCCAAATTAACGAAAAAGCAGAGACAGAACATGCAAATTAACAAAATCAGAAACGAAATGGTGAACATAACAACAGACACAGAGGAAATCCAGACAATTTTCAGGTCATACCTTGAAAATCTGTATTCCACAAAAATTGAAAATTCAAAGGAAATGGACAAGTTTCTGGATAACTATCACTTACCAAAATTAAATCAAGAACAGACAAACAACTTAAATAGACCTATAACCCACAATGAAATAGAAGCAGTCATCAAAAGCCTTCCAACGAAAAAAAGTCCAGGGCCAGATGGATTCAGTGCAGAAATCTACCAGACATTCAAGGAAGAACTAATACCACTACTCCTCAAACTGTTCCACAAGATAGAAACAGAAGGTTTATTGCCAAATTCTTTTTATGAGGCCACAATAACTTTGGTACCCAAACCTCACAAAGACACAACTAAGAAAGAAAACTACAGACCAATATCCCTGATGAACATCAATGCAAAAATACTCAATAAAATACTGGCAAACCGAATGCAAGAATACATCAGAGAAATCATCCACCATGATCAAGTAGGCTTCATACCTGGATTGCAGGGATGGTTTAACATACGAAAATCTATCATCGTGATCCACCATATAAACAAACTGAAAAAGAAAAACCATATGATTATCTCCCTAGATGCGGAAAAAGCCTTCGACAAAATTCAACACCCTTTCATGATAAAGGTATTAGAGAGGTCAGGGATAACAGGAACATACCTAAACATAATAAGAGCAATATACAGCAAACCAACTGCCAACATCAAACTGAATGGAGAGAAACTTAAGCCAATTCCTCTAAAAACAAGACAAGGCTGTCCTCTCTCTCCATATCTCTTCAATATCGTACTAGAAGTTCTAGCTAATGCTATAAGACAACAAAAGGAGATCAAGGGCATCCAAATTGGAAAGGAAGAAGTCAAACTGTCTCTATTTGCAGATGATATGATAGTTTACATAAGCGACCCAATAAACTCTACCAGGGAACTCCTACAGCTGATAAACACCTTCAGCAAACTAGCAGGATACAAGATAAACTCAAAAAAATCAGTAGCCCTATTTTTTTTAGACGACAAAGAGGCAGAGAAAGAAATCAGAGAAACATCACCCTTTACAATAGCCACAAGCAACATAAAGTATCTTGGTGTAACGCTTACCAAACAAGTAAAAGACCTATATAAGAACTTTGTGACTCTAAAGAAAGAAATTAAAGAAGATACCAGAAAATGGAAAGACCTCCCATGCTCTTGGTTAGGTAGGATAAACATAGTAAAAATGGCAATCTTACCAAAAGCAATCTACAGATTCAATGCAATCCCCATTAAAATCCCACCACAATTCTTCACTGACCTTGAAAGGATAATAATCAACTTTATATGGAAAAACAAAAGACCCAGGATAGCCAAAACAACCCTATACAATAAAAGAATGTCACGAGGCATCACCATTCCTGACTTTAAGCTCTACTACAGAGCTATAGTTCTGAAAACAGCCTGGTATTGGCATAAAAGTAGACAGGTAGACCAATGGAATCAAATTGAAAATCCTGATATTAATCCACACACCTATGAACACCTGATTTTCGACAAAACAGCTAAAATTATACAATGGGGCAAAGACAGCATCTTCAACAAATGGTGCTGGCACAATTGGATGAGGTTGTGTAGAAGACTGCAGATAGACCCATGTCTGTTGCCATGCACATAACTCAAGTCCAAATGGATCAAAGACCTCAACATCAATCCAGCCACATTGAACCTCTTAGAAGAGAAAGTAGGAGGTACCCTTGAACAAATTGGTATAGGAGACCGCTTTTTAAACATAACTCCAGGGGCACAGACACTGAAAGAAACAATTAATAAATGGAACCTCTTCAAACTTAGAAGCTTCTGTAAGGCAAAGGACACAGTTGACAAGACCAAATGGCAGCCCACTGACTGGGAAAAGATTTTCACTAATCCTATATCCGACAAAGGGCTGATCTCCAAAAATATACAAAGAACTCGGGAAACTAGTCAAAAAAAAACACCAAATAACCCTATTAAAAATGGGGTACAGAACTGAAGAATGAATTCTCAATAGAGGAAATCAAAAAGGCTGAAAGACACTTAAGAAAATGCTCCACATCCTTAGCTATCAGGGAAATGCAAATCAAAACAACTTTGTGATAACAGCTTACCCCTGCCAGAATGGCTAAAATTAGAAATACCAGTGATGGCTTATGTTGGAGAGGATGTGGAGAAAGTGGAACACTCCTCCACTGCTGGTGGGAGTGCAAACTCATACAGCCATTTTGGAGATCAGTATGGTGGTTCCTCAGGAAAATGGGAATTAGTTTACCACAGGACCCGGCAATCCCCCTCTTAGGCATATACCCAAAGGATTCACATCCATGCAACAAAGACATCTGTTCAACTATGTTCATAGCAGCACTATTTGTAATATCAAGAACCTGGAAGCAACCTAGATGCCCCTCAATTGAAGAATGGTTAATGAAGATGTGGCACATCTACACAATGGAATACTACTCTGCAGAAAAAAATAATGGTATCTTGAAATTCGCAGGCAAGTGGATGGCACTTGAAAATACCATCCTGAATGAGGTAACCCAGTCACAAAAAGAGGAACACAGTATGTACTCACTCATATATGGATTTTAGAACTAGATCAAATGATCACCAGCCTATAATTCCCATCACCAGATGAACTAGGATACAAGGTGTATTCTAAGAGATTCATATAAAGTCCCTCACAGAACTGGGAAGGGACAAGTCCCCCAGAGCTCAGGTGAAGTGGGGGAGGACAGCTAATGGAGAGAGAAGTAGGAGAAAATGAGGGGGAGGAGAGGAAGGCATGTGCGACCAGGTGGATTGAGCCTGGTTAGGAATGGAAGATAGGAAAGAGAGAGAGAGAGATAGACAGAGACAGAGAGAGAAAACATAAAAGAGGGAGCCAATATTGGTTTGAAGATAAAGTTGAACACAAAGAAAGGTCGAGAGAACTACAAGACTGCTCCCAACTAACAATCTCAGCTTCCGTGGAAAGGCTATCATAAATGTCCTTCCCGGAGAGTGAGATCAACAACTAACTTCTCCATGGAGCCTTCAACTAATGCCTGTTGAAAATAGGAGCAAACACCCATACATAAACACTGAGTCGAACTAGAACCCAGAAGCCGATGGAGAGGACAAGACCATGTGGCAGAAGCACATAGAGACAGCTTACCTGAACAAGGAGGAGCTAAGGGCCACTAGACTGATAGCGGGGAAGCCAGCAGGGGACTGCCTCGGGCCCCCCTGAATATGGGTCTCAGCCAGAAGGTCTGAGCAGTCTAAGGTACCTCAGACAGTGGAGCCAGGATGTATCTCTGGTGCACAAAAGGACTTTGCAAACATATCCCCCATGGATATGCCTTATTCTAGAGACAGGAGAGAAGCCCTAGTCCCTACTTCACAGGACCTGTCAGATCTACATGACCCCAACTGGATGGCATTCCCCTACATATGGAATTGTGGTGGGGGGATGGGAGGGGAGGGTGTTTAGAGTGCATGTGAGAGGGCAGAGAGGGTAAAAGGGAGGGAAGGGGGAGGGAGGGCTGAAGGGGAGGGAGGGAGGGAGGGAGAGGGAAGTGGGATCGACATTAAAATAATAAATTAAAAAAAATGCTTTGACTCCAAAATTTAACTTGAAGAACAAGTTACTGGGGAAAAGGATTTCTATTTTTGTTTCCACAGAAAATGAAAAGATGTGGATTCCTTCCAGACTAATGTGGTTTGATCAAGCCAGACCACCTGAAACAGAGTACCAGGTGATCCTACATTCCAAACAGCTGGACAAAACAGCCCTACAGACTACAGCTAGGATATCTGAATCTTTTTCGAATCCCCCAAGACAGTGCCCCTTACCAGCAGGAAGTAGTTTGGAAAGAACGACGCCCAAATTCCCAAATATTGTGTATAAATGTTTGTTTTCATTTAATTGGACTTTGTTATATAAAATTAAATAAAAAAAAAAAAAAGAAGCACGGGAAGCTTCTGGGACAGTGGGGGAAAAAAAAAGAAAAAAGAAAATGTGTGAAGGCAACAGTATAAATGTGTTTAATATCTGTGCATTGTACAAAAAATGGTTAAAATGGTAAGCTTTAAAGAATAATTTAAAATCAGGTAGTGGTAACACACATCTATAATCCCAGCACTCAGGAGGCAGAAGCAGGTGGATCTCTGAGTTTGAGGCCAGCCTAATCTACAGAGGGAGTTCCAGGCCAGCCAGAACTGTTACACAGAGAAACCCTGTCTTGAAAAACACACACAAAACACTACTAATAATGATAACAGTAACTCACTTCAAAGCACTGTCAGTGGAGCTCACCTGTGTTGGTATTAAAATAAGAGCTGAGCGGGACCTAACTAAGGATCTGTTAGCTGTCTTCTCTCCCTTCTCACTTTGCCTTTTTTTTTTCCCTTTTGTTTTTATGAGACAGGTTTTCTCTGTGGTAGTCCTGGCTGTCCTGGAACTCACTCAGTAGACTCACAGGGATCTGTCTGCCTCTGTTTCCTGAGTGCTGGGATTAAAGGTATGCACCACCACCACTACCACCACCACCTGGCTATCACTTTGCCTTTTCTAGCAGTTACTTTGAGCAATGCCCTGGTCAACCTTTGCTAAATCATCCCAGTGAGGCAGCTAATACCAATTCTTAGACAACCCCAACTTTTTTATTAATTAAATTTTTTTCATACAATATATTTGGTCATATTCTTTCCCCATAACTCCTTCCAGATTCTCCTACTCCTGATCTACCCAACTTCTATTTCTCTCTCTCTCTTTCTCTCTCTGCCTCTCAAAAAAAAACCTAAACCAAAACACACACACTATATATATACATATATACATACATATACATATATATATACATATACATATACATATACATATACATATACATATACATATACATATACACACAAAACCCCAAACTGCAAAGTCTGTTTTATGTTGGCCAACTCTTCCTGAGCATGCATCCTACCATGGGTGTAGATGACATTCCCAGTGTCTCTCCACTGAAGAAAGCCACTTTCCCCCTCCCAGCAGCTACCAAGGCCAAGTTCTTTTTTCTACTGAACAAAGATAAAAGCTGGACAAACATCCTGCCCACACCTCACATAATCATGCTTCCAAATGATTGACTCTTAACTCTTAAGAACAGGTGGGATGCAGTCAGGGTTGTCTGCAGGGTTCATCTCTGAGAAGCAGCTTAGAGATGAACATGGAAAATTAAGCAGTGAGAGACTCCTTTTCAAACATCCTCTCCAGGTGGAATTTGAAATACATTAGAAAGGAAAACACTGGGTGTGGCATACCTCCTGAGATTCTCACTGTGCAGCTGGATCGGACGGTTCAGTGACCCTGACCTGCCTCTGATCTCAGAACCCTATGCAAGTGATTTGGTGTCATTCAGCTTATGAGAACAGTGTTTGCAGCAACAGTGGATGACTTCCTGTCAGGCGGACAGAAAGATACCCTCATCTATGAAACATGAAGCCTTCTTGACTAACCTGGGTGTTGGACACAGGTCAGAGACATCCCTAGCCTTCCTGTATGGGTAGGTTCACCTGGCTCTGACTGCTGAACAGGCTAATTTACACCTCGGAGTTTAAGGCTTGAGCAAACATTGGAAGAAAGAATGCTGGGAACCCCTCTCCTATCGCTGCTCGCCCTGGAGGAGTGGCTCCCACAGGGCCAGCCGTACTCACTTTGCCTCGGCACACAGAGCGCACACACTCCACCAGCTGCCCTGTCTCCAATTGGAAAGCCCTGCAGCGCTTCATCTCCTGGTCCCACAACTTTACAGCCCCTCCTTCTTTAGTCCTAAAAAAAAAAAAAAAAAAAAAAAAAGTCAAAAGAGGAATTCACCCATTCCCTCAAGACTTCCCTTCCAAGCCCTCAGCACCCTTTCACTGATGGTGTGGCTATCCAGGCCCAGCGGGATAGACCCTCCAGGGTCACCCCCTTCTTAGGCCCCACAGATTTCCTAAATCACCTTCAAATGCATATCTCTGGAGAAGATCGAGTGTAGTCCTCAAAGCTATTCATGCTTCCATTAGCCTACTAATGGTGTTTCACGAATCCTGCCCTCCCACTATCATTCCTCCCTCCAAGAGCTGCTATGAGCAGCATTTGCAAGAGCAAAGTCACAACAGCTTTTAAAGAAGTGTCTTCTGAGTTTTTAAGCTGCTAATGGTCTCCTCTACTGTCCTCTCAGGAAGACCTTGGGCTCTCTGGGAAAGACCTTGTACTCTTTTGCAGAGATGGCAGTCTGATCTAACACAGAAAAGATAGGAACACCCCCAAGATAGTAGCAAACAAGTCCCCAAGAGGGACCTTTGCTTACGGCCGTTCTTTTCCACCAGTCACAATAAGCCCATCCCGGAGGGTTGTGTACATTGTGAAAACAGGGCCTGTGTGAGCCTTGGCTACCAGCCGGATGAGGAAGTGCTCCTTCCACACGAAGACATCTCCATTGATGGCACCAGTGAAAGTGAGGTTGTTCTGTAAACAAAGGGACACCTTGGGAACCAGGACCATGCTTTAGGGGGTCCCTTCTCAGCCACTGGCTCCTTTTGCTTGTTTAAAATTAATTTTTGCTATTTTTAATTATGCATGTGTGTATGTGTCCATACATATGAGCACAGATACTCCCAGAGGCCAGAGGCATTGGATACCATGGAGCCAGAGTTACAGGCAGTCATAGGATACTTGAGTAGGGTGCTGGGAACTGAATTCAGGTCTGTTGGGAGAGTAGTGAATGCTCTTAGTCACTGAACAATTTCTCCTTTGCTGTGATGACCAGCTGTGCATTGCTAGTCTGATTTCCATTAAGCCAAACAGATGTGCAGAGAATTGGAAGAACATGAGAGATCACCTGGCTTTACAAATTACTTGCTAACTGGCTTGGGTATTTTTTGCATTTCTATGATGTGTACATCTGCAGCATCAGCACGAAACAGGCTATAGTAGGGGAAGGGCCATCCTCAACCAGGGAGGAGTCTTGCCTGGGGTTCACCCAGGAAGTGGACACATCACATTGGAACACCTGGAGTTGTCTTACATTTACCAGGCGTTTGCACCAGCTCAGCGATTTATGAAGAAAGAGGGCCGGGGGGAGGGGGGGAAACCATTCCCTGAGGGTAGAAGTTTCCCCCAGTATTCTTAGGATTAGCCAAAGCAGGGTGTCTGTATTTCTAAAAAAAACAAGTATGACAGAAATAGTTGGATGTGGGTGGCACTACCCCATTTTTCTGGGGTCTCAGACTGAATAAGAAGGAAAAAGCAAGCTGAGCACCAGTATCATCTGCTTCCTGACTGTGCCTGCCATATAGCTAGCTGCCTTAGGTTCACCATTGTGTCTTTGCTGTCATGATGATCTGATCTTAACCCATCTTAACTCACCAGGCAAAAGACATGCTTCCTTGCCTAACTTGCTCTCCAGAGCTTTTTTGTCATAGCAATGAGAAAATATTAATACTTTTTGACTCAACATTTGAGAACAAAAAATGAGTAAAAACTGTAGTCAGTTGAGGGACAAAGGAGATATAATTACCTGCCTTGCAAAAATGAGGAATTGACTTCAATCCCCAGAACCTACATTTTAAAAAGTTTGGTGTGCTAGTATGTGCTTGTAATCTCGGTGCTGGGAAACTAGAGACAGGCAGACCCCTGAGGGTCACTGGCCAGCCACCCTATCCCAATTAGCAAGCTTCAGGTTTAGTGACAGACTCAAAGGAGGTATCCACACATCTACCAGCACACTGACAAACACATACATGCACACAATGCAGTCAGTCCCCTATTTATGCTAAGGATAGGGAACACTGATTACTAAGGACACAATGCAATCAATCCCTTATTGATGCCAAGGATAGGGTACATTGATTACTAAGGAGCCATGTAGTAAGGGACAATATAGAAGTGGATTTCTTGTTGACTTTGGCTTCTTGGCCAAACCCTCTCCCAATGCGTCTCCTGAGGATTCAGGACCCTTCTTGAGAAAACATCTGCTGGAACTTACAGCACCAAAAGCCACAGACAGCATTGTCTGCATCTTGGCAGCTTCCATGGACCCGATGACCCCTTTCTTGTACAGTAGGGCACTTCCAGCCAGGGTCCAGAACTTCATGTGTTTGACCCCAACAGATACAAACTGTGTGTCTGAGTCGGGGCGAAATTCTACCACAAATATACGCTCCAGGTGACCACCTCGGCTGGCAACCTTGGTACCTGTATGGGCGACAGAGTCCAATGAGACTAGTCCTTCTGCCATGCGTGAGCCAGAGCAGGAGGTAACAGCCCAGACTGGCTTTTCCATCCTCTCAGAACTCAGGTCAGAGCTCCTTTAACTGCATTTCTTTCGGGCACCATCCCAAGGAAGGTGTGTCTGGGAATTTTCCAGAGAAGTATGTACTACTAACAGAACCCTCCCCCCCAGCAACAAGTCCATGACTAGAGCAGGAAATTACTGTGACCCACAACATGGAAGCTTCTTGATTGCAGAAAAGGGTAGAATTGATCTACCTTGCAACCACATCTTCCTACTCTCAAATCAGCACTCTCCACGCCCAGGATGCCCCACCCTCCCAGGGTAACTGGGAGCTCAGGTTCTTTAGACAACTTTTATTTTCTTATATCTATCCAAGATTCCTGCATGCATTTTCTATACCTCCAATGCTCCCTTTCAGTTCATACATTTTATGTTAAATTTTCCACTTTTTATATTTAGTTACTAGTTTTTCTTACACCATATTCTTAATGTCTCATTAGCTTTCATCTTGAGTCTCAACTCCATTTTTAGAACACTTTTGAACATCTTAACCTCACTGTTCCTCAGTGTAATTGGTATAGCAATCATTGTAGCTGTGACGGTGCTGTGAGAAGCCCAAGAATTGACGCAGGTAATGATCACGCCATGCCAGGAACTCGTTTTTCCGTTCCTTTGGATCCTTTTAAAACCTCTGGGTTTCTATTCCTTTTTCCTATATTTTAAGACTCTCTTTTTACTCCTTTAAACCCTTAAAGTTTAAATTTTTATTTTAAACTTGTTACTTTTTCTTTAAGGCTCTTTTCTATACCCTCTCAATGTTTTAGTTCCAATTTCTTCTCCCTCCTCCTTCATTATTTATCCCGATCTTTTTCTTCTCATCTCCATACATTTGCTCATTTGGTTTTCACTATGGTTCTACAGGAGAGTGGTGGTTGTTTTGGTGGTAGGTTTTTAATGAAGCTGGCCTTGTAGTTCAGCAAAGGAAGCTGGGGAGGTTGTATCAGGAGAGCCTTCTACTCCACACACACTGGCTAAACACTGTGCACCTGAAACCCTCACAGTAGTAACAGATCTCATTGCCTGGGGCTTTAAAGCCATGGCCTCCAAGACCATAAACTATGTCTGACAGCAAAGAACAGGTGAGAAGAAAAATATTCTCAACCCTTGTAAGAGTCAGGGTGAACAGTAATCTATACAGACTGACACCCCAGTCCCACAGGTGGACTGTAGAAGCAGTACTGTATGTGAGTGGCCAATTAGAGATGCAAGGATCAACCTTACCAGCTTTAGAGGTATTGCAGTAAATAAGGATCAGGATAAACAAATAGGCCGAATAGATGTTTATTCAGGGAGAAATAACTTACAACCTAGACAGATGAACACCAGGAAATTCAACCCGATCCTCTCCTGTCCGAGTCACGCCAGAAAGAGCGCCTTCCTGGCCCCCTCCGACCTCCTTCCACAGGTCACTTCCGCCCATGGCTCCACCCCCCAATGGGCATGGTCAGTGCCACAGAAGGAGACAAAGTGAATATCCCACTACATAGAGGAAATGCAAACTTATAATGAGAGTCCTATTATAAGCCTTCTTAAGGCTTCTCCTCTAGTTTTAATCTCATGGGATACTGAGTTGGCTTCTGGTCTATTGATAACAAGTTAGAAACACATATACAGGATCTGAAACATGCACTGTACATAATATGTTCACTTGAAATCCCATCTTATTATTCACACACATGATCTCCAAAATGTCTCACTAACAAGACAGAAATGCACAATATGCTCTTTAGTGATAATACAAATGTACATAAACCAATATGTGCTATTTATATGAAGGCAGGACTTGAAGGAAAAAAAAATCACAACACACTAGAGAAAGGAAGAGAAGCTGTGTCCAGTCAACCATGAAGAGGGTATCTTCTCAGAACCCTCTGACAAACTGGTTCCAATTAACACAAGGAGAAGACTCCCCCATGCTTTCTCCTCTGGGGAGCGAGTTTACTTAGTGGAAAGGAGTGGCTTTTCTAGTCCTTGCTGCCTTGGCAGGTCAGAAGAGCCCCAGGTTCTGCCTGGAGAGACAAGTGGCAGAGGTAAGGAGGGAGCATGAGCCTGAAGACAGGAGACTGGGTGGGGACATGGGCTCACTCTTGTCTTAGGACTTGGGACTAGGGTCAATGGCCTGAGAAAAATGGGTATCTGGAACATAACTCTGCCCCATAAAGAGGGGACTTTGTGGAAAGAGCTAACAGTGGGTGGACTTCTCCGGAAGTGACAGGGGCTGTGTCCTGGGAGATACCCATGCAGATGGAAGGAATCCTGCCAAGAAAGCACTGGAGTATTTTTGTGGATGGACTGGGATGGCTAGAAGGTGTCCCTAGCCCATCCAACTCTGGGATGCCTTGAGGATGCTACTAGGTACAATGCTCCATTTCTCATCTGCACCATCTAATTGATCCACTGACCCCCTGGTATCATAAGCAACTGGTTGCATGCCAGGGAGATGGGTTATGGGACACGACACAATAAACTATAAGCAAGATGACAGTGTGGTTTCCTAGAAATACCGTGGGTCTAGCTAACTTCCAGTGCAGTGTGAGGAGACTTATTCTTAACATTTGTCAGTCACTGGTCTCAGGAAAAATGGAAGATTTTCTCAGAATTTATATTTCTCTTTAAAACCATTCTTTACACCCTTTCCATAAGAAGAGGAGGAGATAATGGGACTCCAGAGTCCTAGATTGGAGAAGTGCCACTTCTCTGCTTGCCTGTTCAGTGTGTCCCAAATACAAGCTGCAGCTAGATCTCATTAGTGTTCTTACTAATTGGATCTGCTTTTGCCAAGGCTGACCTGAGCATATACTCAGAAAATTGCATATTTTAATTGTAATACAATTACAAATTTAGTACCAGCTGGTGTGCATGCATGCGTGTGTTGGGGTAGATAAGAAAGAAACTCATTAACTATACTATAAACCAGTGGTACTCAACCTTTCTATTAAAGGGTTCTCAACCCTTTAATGCAGTTTCTCATGCTGTTACTTCATAACTGTAATTTTGTTACTGTTATGAATCACAATGTAAATATCTGTGTTCCCTGTGATGATAGCTCTGAGACAAGCAGGCTGAGAACTGCTGCTATAAACAGTGATTAAGGTGAACCCTCATTTCAGAAGTGTAAAAGCATAAAATATGGTGAACAACTGAAATTTGCTTTCAGTGACCATGCTCCTCCAGTTCTAATAACAAGGTGGCCAAGGTAAAACAGTTGGAGTAGAATCCAGAGTGTTCCAAAAGGAACACTGAGGACAGGGAGTTTGGGGAGGAAGGTGATGATAATAGAGAGAGGGATGGCACTTTCCCTGTGGCCAGTGTTAGCACTTTGCTAGCATACCCACAGCTCCTTCACTAGCCTCCATGGTTTCTGGGCAGCCTGCAGCTGGCCATGGCACAGGGAATTGACTGAGATCTGAGAGCAACTTGCCTGGAAGGAGTCAGGGGTTCCATCCCAGCATACTCCTTAGGGGAGCTGTGTAGAAGAAACATGAAGCCCAGCTTGTTACCTTCTTGCCATCTCCAGACAGTGATGGTATGCTCTGGATCCACGCCCACAGACACCAGGAGCTTCCCGGTTGCACTGAAGTTGACGTAGTTCACCCCCTTGGAGTGGAAGCACCGCAGCATGGAAAGGGTGTGTTTGGTCATAGCATCCCAGATATGAATTGAAGGTGTTGTCCCTGAGTGTGGGAAAAATGACAGAGGTGGTAGCGACTCAGGGCTTGTATTCCATTAAAGGCCCTTCCTTACACAAGTGTTTAGAGGTGTCACTGGGCATAAGAGACTTCTAGTCTGACCTGGGCAGAGAAAGACATTAAGAAACGGGCTACTACAGAGACAGCATGTGGACATTTGTATCTGGCATACTTGCAAAGGGTTTTGTTCAAAGGGAACCGGTGAGGATAGATTTGTAGCACAGCCAGATACAACCACCAAATCATACATTGACATGATCCTGCTGTGTGGATTTGAACTGTTCACCACTGGAACAGCTTTGCCTGTGTTTTGCATGGTGTCACCTGCAGCAGTGGGCAGTGGCAATGAGGCAGCATCAGAGGAAACAATAAATCACATTCCTAACAGTGCAGCACTCAACCCCAGTAAAGCACTCTGCAAAGAAGCTTTAAAATAGGCATGGCTTTGATGCAAACAAGCAAGAGACTTTCACAAAGTACAAGCAAATATGCAGATGACTTTTCACAAATGTGCAGTTCACATTTGTGGCTGGTGGTTTCTCAGTAAACAAGAGCCAGGCACACATGCTACACTGCACTCTTGCCAAGTTCTCATCAGGCTTCAAGACATGGGGCTCACTCACACATGGGGGCCCAATCAACATGGAAGAGGACCAAATATTTATTTAACTATCAGGTCTCGGTCTGATTTTTGGTCTCTCAGAATTACTAGTCACTACATGTATCAACTCAGGTTACACAGACATAGCTTAAGACTTAAAAAAAAAAAAAAGCCAACTGAGACATCAAGAAGGGGTCTGGGTCACACCCCTCTCCAGAGAGTGCGAGTGCTAATAGGCCAGTGCCCTTGTACAGCTGCCAGAGCCTGTGGGGAGTCAGCAAGAAGCCCTACCTATCTGGCTGGTAGCCACCACGTTTCTGTATTTTGGGTGCTGGTTCACTGTGAGGCAGAGGATGTCATCTGTGTGCTCCAGGTAGAAGCTCTGGCTGCCTAGGAGACAGGAATCATCTCAGGTGAGTAGTAACACCTCACAGCTTTCCATAGTTATCACAAAGCAGAATGGGAGATCTGGAAATGCCTTATAAAGGAGTTTGTTTTTAGAAAACCCAAATTATCATTTTTGAAATTGTCCTTGGAGATATGAGGGAACCTTTAAAAAAAAAGTTCCCATGTTCTGATGTAGGTCTGGAAGGACAAAAACTGACACCAATCCTAATATAACCACAATCTACCATAGCCTTTCCCACTGTGGATCCAGCATGCAGATCAAACACACATGATTTCAGAGACTGAAATGATAAAGTTCAGGTTCCCTCCTCCCCTTGGCACGAGACTAGTGTTTTCCCAATGTCCACCTCTGACCTGAAAGAGAGGATGGAGATGCTGGAGATGAAGATGCTGAAGGTAATGCTGCAGTGAACAAAGTGGTGCCACGTGGCTCAAAGTGGCACTATGGGAAGTGCCTGAGGAGTCCCTTGAATAGGAGCCTATCCACCTGGGTACCCGGATGGCACAGGCCAAAGCTTTATCCCCAAGTCAACATATTTCATAGGAGGTGGAAGGAAGGGTAGCTTCCTGACTTTCCAAAGTGCTTTTTAAAACCCACTGAAATGCTCAGGAATAGATTGGGGAGTGGTAGCACTGATAAATATGGGACTATATCATAGTGCCCTTAAAATGATGGCATGTGCCTAAAAAATTGAGAAAACATGGCAAATCTCAAAGCTGTCCTTCCTAAAAGGGAGAAAAAAAAAACCCAGTGTCTGTACTCTCCAAATCTATACATAAACTACAGGGACCCAGCAAGGTATATCTGATCTGGTAGTGAAGGTGTGGATGTGGGGCTGATATATATATATATATATATATATATATATATATATATATATATATATATCCTTTTTCTTTTTGCTTGAAATGTCTCCTTTTGAAGAATTATTTCCTGATTGAACTCATAGCTAGAGAACACTGAGTATCTCTGTTAATAATCTCTTACACTCTTTGTAAATATTTCTCAAGTCAAAGCAAGCTGGGCCCTGTGGCGCACACCTCTAATTGTAACAGTCAGGATACTGAAGCAGGAGGATCACCATGTGTTTGAGAGCTGGAAACTGGTTCCCTTTGCTTTGCTCTTAATTTTGGTCTCTGCCTCATTTCTCTTTCACTGCTTCCATCCCTCTCTTCTCCCCAGCCTCTCTTCCCTCTTACCATGGAGGAGCTGATAGGAGCGCAGGTAACTCCCCTCCAGTGGTGCCTACACTATGGGCAAACCAGGCTGAGGCCAGAGAGGCAGGAGACCTGGACCCAAGAGCTTTGTGAGTACCTTGAGGGAAGAGTGGCTCTAGCCTGGAAGAGAATGGAATGGCTCCAAGAGTAGAAGTTGTGGGACATGGAAAGAATGGGAGAATATGCACACAGGTGTGCATTGTGGCTTTTCCCAAAGCTACCTGTGGAGAGGTTCTGGACGATGCCAGCAGCTGCAGTGTGGAAAATGATGTCGGCACCATCATTAAGGTAATGCAGGTTGTTTCGGCAGTCAAATCCTCTGTAGCCAAACACATGGTCCAGAGCCAGCTCCTGCATGCACACACACACAGATTAAGTTCACCCTTAGAGGCTACCAGCAGAGGAACAATGCCACACTTCACATTGTATGAATAGCCAAGCATGTCACAGGAACACTATGCAAGGCAGATGCCACTCACTGAAGCCTCTGGACTAGCTGAGGATGGAACACAGCCCTGTATTTAGTGCCCTGAAATGTTAGGTGACAGTGACTTTCCTAAATTAACCAAAGCGACTTCTTGGTTCTTTAGGTGAGTCACAATGTCACAATGTACTGACTGGATGGCTTCTAATGGTCACCTACAAGTGCCAAATCCTTAGCTCAGATGAATAGTAGCTCAGAGGCTGCCATGAAAAGGTCCCATAGACAGCTGTGACTGGCTGAGGCTGCTGAGGGAGCCGAGGTCATGCCTGATGTGTTGGTTATGACTTGTCCCATGAAGTTCCTGTGCATTTGCATATGTCCAGGCAACTAGACACTACTCTGGATTCATGTTTTTATCTTTTGCCTTGTCCTCTATGACAAAGCAGTGGCTGACTGAGATCAATTCTTGATTTCATTGAATGCATTTGTCCTGGGCTCCTCCATGCCTGGCCCTGAGTTAGCTCATGGGATATGCGTTAATAGCTTGTGGGTCTCCCTTCTCAAGTTTGCCTAGCTCTGACCCTTACTGTTTCTCTTCTTTTTTGTTTTCTTTCTTTTTTAAGATTTATTTGTTTGTTTGTTTATTATATATATTGAGTTCTGACTACATATATGCCTGCATTCCAAAAGAGGGAATCAAATCTCATTTCAGATGGCTGTGAGCCACCCATGCAGTTGCCAGGAATTGAACTCAGGACCTCTGGAAGAACAGTCACTGCTCTTAAACTCTGAGCCATATCTCCAGCTGGGCCCTTACTGTTTCTGAAGATTGCCAATTGCAAACATTAGATTAACTCCTACATGGCACAGTATTTCTTAACGGAAAGCATCCATTGCCTTCACATCCTTGAGATGGCACACAAGCCTTACCCACACCCTTGGTCACCTTCTGAGCATCCTGGATAAGCTTCCCTAGTGTTACAACTTTGTTTTCTCATATACCTCTCACCTGGAAAGCCCTTCTCCTTCCATCCCCAACTCCCCCAATGTGTTTCCCAGGAATGTATTTAATATGGGACTGTTGTTTTAATATTGGTACAGTGTCTGCACCTTAATCTTCTATTTCAGCCAGCAATTGCAAGGGATTTCTCTGGCAGGGGCCAAGCCACTCAGGCCATAGTCTGGAGGGAATTCTGTTTCCGCAGTCACTAGCTCTGCTGCTAAAAGGACTTTTAACTAAATCTCTATCATTCTATTTATAGATAAAACTGGAGACTCAAGGTTGGGGCAAAATACTGCTATCCTCTTCTTGCTGGCATTTCCTCTAAAGCCTGTCTGACTCTCTACCAAAATGAAAAACCGTGCCACTCAAAATCCCTTCCTACTACTTCCTGCATCTCTCTATCTCTTCCAGATGCCCTCTGATGCTGTCAACTAGTTGCTAACTCAGCCTCCTGACCCAAGGTTGATTTTATTTAATTAACATAAATGCAAACTCGGGTTTACAATGTGATCAAATATCCCCATTATAGGACTTTTCCCTGAATACAGTGGTCTGTTGACCCAAATGTGGCCAATCAGACAGTCTTCTAGAAATTTAGAATAGACATCGATAGGCTCAATAGTTTTACTATATGAGGAGTTGTAAACTCAGGGGGCTAAGAAGCATTGATATTTTATTGTATTTAATACAGTAGTTCCAGAAGTTTTTAGAGAAAAATAGGCTTCCAGGCCCCTGCTTGACAGAAAATTGACACCATCTGGCTTATGATGGCCCTTCTACTGTTGGATCCTGTCTTCTCTGAAACTAAGCTACATTTTGTGACCTGAGCTATCCTCCAAAATAAATACCTCAAAAAAATAGTTCCTTTCCAGAAAAAAAAATATTCTGGCACCAGTGTGAGTTTAGAGTCTAGCAGCGGGGCAGATGGATGTATGAGAAAGACCAGGGGAGTGTGTGTCAAGGCATGTGGAATATGGGTGTGATAGAGCTGGACAGAAGGGGTCAGGATGAAGGACATTATAAATGATGGTCCTACACAGATATCTGATCCTAGAGAAGGTTCTGGTACAGTGTGGGGAGCTGAGAGATACAATCCAAGCTGAAGAATTGAAACACAGGACCTCAGCATCCAGGATCAGTTGAGAATATTAGGTGGTAATTTTAGGACTGGAGATTTGAGTTGCAAGGGACTCGCAGGTCATGAGCTAGGAAGGTCTCTCAGGGTGAGGTTTTCCAAACTCTAAACATGATCCTCACAGGCAATGTGGGAATATTTTGGGTATTAAAGCCAGCATAAGGCATGACAGGTTTGAACTTTGATTGGAGAACTCTGGATTGTTGGGTCTGTGGGCTTCCTGGAGCTGATCCTCAAGTCTCAACCTTAAGCCAGATCTTCCTCCCTCACTGGACTGCTGACCCTGGGAATGAGTCCTTATCATCATCCCTGAACCATAAAGCCTTCATTTGCAAATGAAAGTAACAGTGCCCACTTCATAGGTGAGAAATGGATGGAAGCCTCCTCCAGAAGGCTTCCTTTTTGTTCAGAAAAAGAGTGCTGAAGTCCCAGGTGGTAAAGTGTACAGGGCAGTAGGGCCACATTCAAGGGACACAATGCATTTTAGAGTTAGTGATGATTGATAAGGCTTCATGACAGGGCTGAAGGAGAAGGAATGTGACCTGGTAGATGTGATGTTAGTCCCAGAGATGGGGCAGGGGGACAAAGCCATACAGATGGAGATGGGGACACAAGGGAACCAACAGATCCATTGGGTTTGTTTGATGGGATCTCTAGTTTAGGCAAAAGAAGATGTCCATCTGGCAGTGTCAGAGCATCAGTAATGAGGCAAGAGCATGGTCATGTGACATCTTACCTCAACCAACTTCTTTTTGGTGATGTTGTTCTTCTGGAGTTTCTCAGGCTGGGGAGCTGCCCGGCTTACAGGTGGTCTGAAACAGAAGTCAGAGGAAACACAGGGTTGAATAAAAAACTACTTGACCAGCAACTTGCTAAAGCCAGAGCCAGGGAAGGCCCTTGCTCCTCTCTCCCTCAGAGGACATATCACCTGGGGCTGTTCTGTCTGGCTCTCTTCTCTCACCCCACTAGGAACAGTAACTTGGAATCTGACCAGTCACAGGACAGGTGTGGGTTGGGCTCATGGGAGGGAGTTGGGTTTCTCTATATTATAGCACATTTGTAGGATCAGTCCCACTTCTCTAATATCCAGCAACATCCTGGGATCCAAGAAAAACCCCTGGCTAGAGGAACTCACATTACAACTAAGGATGAGCAAATGTATGAGAAAGGAAAGGTCATGTTCTCTGACTTCACTGGCCATTTCTCAAACAGAAATGTGCCAAAATTATTCAGAATCACGCAATCAAGAGCCTGGCCTCTGTGCCTAGGGACTCAGAAACCACAGTTGAGATAGGTTCTGAGACTGTGTGAAAAGTACCAAGTTGCTCTGGCTGTAGGCAAGGGCAAGAAGGGAGAAAGGATGAAAGATCTCATGCCTCCCTCTTTGCTCCTACTCAGGGTTAGGGTTCACCTTAAGTTGCCATCATCACTACACCAAAGTTTGCTTCTCCAGCCTTAGTTTGGAGAGTGATACTTCTAACTTTAGTTAAGAGATTTTACTTGGAGGAAACCCTCAAAAATTCCTGTTGGTGGCATTGGGTTCCTTTTAGTCAGACTTCTGTGATCTTGGGGAAAGCAGGAGATGGGAGGAGGGAGTCCTGCCCCAAGTCCCACACCATCAGTCAGTGTTCTCAGGAAATGCAAAGAGAAAGAATTACCTTGATCCCCTTGGAAGCAGAAAACAAAGCAAAGTAAGAACTCAGTACAGGTTAGAGCACTGTCAGCAAGCACCTCACTCATGCACAAGCATTTCCCAAGTGAACAGACATTCCTGTGAACATTCCCAAGTGAACAGACCATGCTTCCCCAGCATGCCAACCAAGAACTAAAACAGAAAGGAAAGAGTGCACCGGGCTACACACTCAGAAAATCCTACCCCGCATCACTGGCAGAGTACACTAAGCACCTCCAAGAGTGGGAAGAGAAAAGAAAGTCTTCTTAATGCTGCCTGCATGTTCATAGCTTCATGCCTGGGGACTGCTTATTTTAGAGGGTGATGGGGAAGATGCATTGTCAGAAAAACAACAGCATCATCTTGAATATCTTGGGGAGTTGTGCACAATGGATTGCTTTGTTCCCAAATTAATTTTGACTCATAATTTAGTCTAATAATTCTCAGGTTTTTTCAGTAGGTCAGCTTGCCAGCTGGAGTTGCTAATGGATTTTTGTGCAGGGGAAACAAAGTAGCTTTATCTTCTCAGAAATTCTTCAATCAAAACATGTTATGTAACCATAAGTGGTAATTGGACCAAATGGTATTAAAATGGGGAGAGGATATCTCTGCAAATGACATCCCCAATTGACATTATTTCCATCAAACAGCAAAATCTCAGGATGGGGCATACAAGTTCCCACAATAAATATTTCCTGCACACTCATTATCATTTCCCAGGACATCTACTCTTTCTTCTGTTTTAGTGAGACTTTCAGATAAGATCCCACAGGTTTCTATTTTACCTAAGAATGTTTAAGTGTATGAAAAAAGCAAGCCAGGGGGCTGCAATGGGAGCAATAATGTGCTACAACTACTGCACAGCTTATAACTTTCAATTCAACACAGGGTTTGGTTCCAGGGTACACAGGGTTGTATAATATACAACATATTATACAGTACAGAGTATGCATACAAGCACAAACACTCTGTTTATATATACATAAGATTGTATATATACACAGAAAGGCAATCTGATGCTTTTTGTCATCCTTATTTTCAGCTAAAACATAAAAGACCCTAAAAGCTTCAGTGGTAAAGCAGGGTCAGAGTGTGTCTTTCTTAGTTGACAAGCACAATCTCTAGCTGTATCATTTCAAAACAGAAGGCGAGAGGAGTGATGGGGAGAAGCCCCAATGGGCAGATGCAGCTGCCTTCAACACCAACCCTTCAGGCTCAGGGTTCTAATGACACTGAGCACTAGGCGTTCACTGAACACCCGAGCTTTGCCAGAGTGCTGCAGATACTTACTTGACAATTCCCTGCCTCCAAAGGAAAGCAAGTTAAAACACAATACAAAATTAAAAGCTTCTTTCCAAGCATCTATAAACAGTGTTCGAAATATCAGATGTGGGAGGAGCTGAATGCTTGTGGGTTAGAATTTCTTCAGCACTTCTAAATCCTTCTAGATTTAGATCCGACTCTGAGAAACTCTCCCCATCTCTCAGGTCCTCATGTGGTGGGGACCACAACCCTAAAATTATTTTTGTGCTACTTCATGACTATACTTTTGTTACTGTTATGAATCATAATGCAGGATATCTAGTATATGATGAAAAGGTCATCTGATCCCCAAAGGGGTCATAACCCACATGTTGAGAACTGCTCATGTACAAGGTTTATCAGTGTCGAAGTAACATAAAGGGCAAATAATTAGGCAGAGAACCATGGGGTTTTCTGAAAAAGCCTGCCATCTTAAAAGTGTTCTTGCCTGAAGCCTAGGACAGCATACCTGCTCCCTCTGCAGAGTGTCGTGGTTTCAGATAAATGGCTCAAGGCCCAAAGGACAGTGGAGAGGCCCAAATCCGGACTAAGTACTAACTAGGTACTAACTGGGCATATTGCAAGAGATCCATGCAAGGGATGAATGATGAAAAACTTGTTGAAATAATTGTGCATCAGGTTTCACTGAGCTCTGTAGCTGAATAGTTTTCTGGAATGGGAGGAGACATAACTGCAGCAGAGTTCTGAGCACAAGTTAGCCTGTGGGGGATGACACACCACCGATGGAAGGAAGGCTTGTGAAGGAAAATCTTGGCTTAAGTATTGGCAAGTTGAGCACTGAACAACTGCAATTTCCCCTAGCAATGAAGTCAGAGCTAAGACTGTGAATCCAAGACCTACAAGATACACCAGGGAGACAAGGCAGCCAAGGATGACTGAGAACAAACAGTAGCTGAAGGAATGAGAAGGGAGGGAAAAGAGGGAAAGTTGTTTAAAATAAAAAAGTAAGTGAGAGAACTACGTCTAAAATTGTACTGCCTGATGGTGACTACTGCTCCAGGTGGCACACTGAGTCCTTGAGCTGTGGCTACTCCATATTAAAATGCGCTGTAAGTGTAAAACATACCTCATGACAGCTTCCGTGGAAAGGCTACCATACCATACCCTGATAGTGAGATCAACAACTAACTTATCTATGGAGCCCTCAACTAATGCCTGTTGGAAACAGGAGCAAACACCCATACATAAACACTGAGTCCAAGTAGAACCCAGATGCAGATGGAGAGGACAAGGCCAGGCAGCAGAAACACATAGAAACAGCTTACCTGATCAAGGAAGAGCTAACGGGCCACCACACTGTTAGCTGGGAAGCCAGCATGGGACTGACTCAGCCCCCCCTGAATATGGGTCTCAGCCAGAAGGACTAAGCAGTCTAAGGGACCTCAGACAGTGGAGCCAGGATGTATCCCTGGTGCACAAAAGGACTTTGCAAACACATCCCCCATGGAGGGATAACTGCCTTAACCTAGAGACAGGAGAGAAGCCCTAGTCCCTACTTCACATGACCTGTCAGATCTACATGACCCCAACTGGATGGCATTCCCCTACATATGGAATTGTGGTGGGGGGGATGGGAGGGAGGGTGGTTAGAGTGCATGTGAGAGGGCAGAGATGGTAAAAGGGAGGGAGGGAAGAAGGGAGGGAAAGAGAGGGAACTGGGATCAACATTAAAATAATAAATAAAAAAAAATGCTTTGACTCCAAACTTTAAGTTCAAGGACAATTTACTGGGGAAAAGGATTTCTATTTTTGTTTCCACAGAAAATGAAAAGCTGTGGATTCCTTCCAGACTAATGTGGTTTGATCAAGCCAGACCACCTGAAACAGAGTACCAGGTGATCCTACATTCAAAACAGCTGGACAAAGCAGCCTTACAGACTACAGCCAGGATTTCTGAATCTTCTTAGAATCCCCCATGACAGCGCCCCTTACCAGCAGGAAGTAGTTTGGAAAGAACAACGCCCAAATTCCCAAATATTGTCTATAAATGTTTGTTTTCATTTAAATGGACTTGGTTATATAAAATAAATAAATAAAAAATAAAAATTGGAAAAAATGTTAAAAAAAAAAAAAAAAAACAACATACCTCATGACTTCAAGACCCAGTAAAACAGGGTCTTTTTCTTCTGTTTGTATAGCCAAGGGTACTCTGTATTCTAAATTCTTCTGCCTCTGTAGCCCAAATTCAGGGATTACAGGTGCACATTTCCAAGCTCAGATTTAAAATAATTTACAAAAAGAATGTAAATTTATTGACACTGATTATAGTTTGAGATTTTTTTCATACTAAATAATACTCATATGTGGTTTAAATTTTATATAATATACATGTATAATCTACATATAAATTACATATATATGTATGTATATATACATATACTTACGTTTTTAGTGTGGATTCTAGAGTAACCACATGTATAAAAATCAGTTGTATGTGGATCACACATTTCTGTCACCCAAGGCTACTCTGGAAGAAACAAGCCCTTCTTCTAAACAAAACAAAGACATGGGGTTTTGTGGACCTGGAAAGGATGTTCTTATGTTAGAACAGCCAGGATAAAAGACAGACTAGAAGGGACACAGTAAAAGAATGAGTATGTGAAACCTGGATAAAAAGGGGTAAGTGAGGGGAGGGAGTAAAAGATGTGAGACCAAAGGATCTACTTTCCTCAGAGGGAGTTAGATGTGTGCAGGAAAGTCTGGGATACCCTTGGTGGCTGAAAATGTGGCTCCAGCTGTCAAGGAGCAGTGTAGAAGCCAAAGGGAGAAGAAATGAGGGACCCAGGTGGACAGGAATTCGGAGCTCAAGCTCCAAATGAAGGTCCAGCTTGAACAAGAAGAGGGACTCACCTCCTCTGAGAAGAGAAGGAAGGAGATAAGTGTTTCAGGCATGGAAGAAGGGAAGCATGATAGGGGAGAAAGGACAGTCAAGACAGAGCTGTACACATGGCTTCTCTGTTGTCACAGAGCAGAGCAAAGCTGCCTGCCAAGGAGACTGTAGGGCAGCAAGCTGAGTGCTGGAGGACTGCGGAGTCCACCAGAGATAGGAAGAAAACATTCGAGCAGTATAGAAAGCCTGAGTGCAGCTGGTGATGTGATGTCTTTGGGCATGGTAGTGAATTGATAGGTTTTCAAGCCAGGAGAAGAGAGGTAGATGTAAGAAAATATGCCAGATGGCCAATGGGCCCAGGGTAGGAGTATCTGAGTCGAAAAGTAGGCCAGGAAAAGGATGGTAAGATTAGGAGAGAGGTGGCAGGGAGGTGAGAGGTGTCTAAGCACGGGATCTGTATGAAAGGTCAGCTATACTGTGATGAGGTATCTGGAGAACGGAGCTGGTGAATCTGCAAATGAAAAAGTTGTAGGTGATGATGTCACCATGGCATGGCAGCAGTACAGTTAGTGAGGTGACCACTGACCAAACTCCTTAGACAGAGGTAGATGTCAGGAGCAGAGGCAGGGAGGTGGGCTGGAGTGGGAACAGGTCTGTTTAAACCTCGAAGGAGTGGATGGGACAGATCTGCATGCCTTAAACTCATTCATAGTGCCCCACACTGCACAGCCCATTCACATTGGAAAGATCTCCTCAGTCACCTGAGATATTCCAAAAAAAAAAAAAAAAAAAAAACTCAAACCAAATCCCATCACAGCCTTTGAAAGCTGCCCCTTTAACAAAGGAGTGCTTGCTTAGTTTTAATGCTTTTAGTTGTCAATCTCCAGGAGTAAGTTTCTTTCAAGTAATTACATGGGAGTGTTTCCTGGGTACATTAATCATTAAAAACACATGTTAGCACTTTACCTCTGGGTTTTTACATCTCACCACTATAGAAAAGACTGGCTGTTCTATGTGTGGCAATTTAAATTTTACAAATTATTAATTTATATAGAAACTGCTTTGCTTCAAACCAACATAAAAGCCCAAGGGGTAGCAGAAAGAAAACCATTTATGAAAATAGCATTAAATTCACTTAAAAGTCAACTGTTGAGTTGTCGGTGATCATCCACCTAAACACAGGCCTTGGAAGTGATTGATATTAACATATTTTAGTTTTAGTTTACTTCATCCACCTTTATAAAAAAAACAAGAATCTAGCTGCATTCTACTTGCTCAGAATAGCTACAAGGGCAGATTTTTCAGAGAATCTGGGGTAGAGGGAAGTAAGAGAACTGAGCCCACACAGACAGTCCCTGGAGTCAGGGGTCTGCTTATGCACAGTCACTCTAGCACCAGGAGGGCTGGGTTAGCTTTTATGCAAAACATAAACAACCACAGGGCTGCACATTGCCTGCTCTTGAATACTCCCTCTTCACCAAAGGATGGGAATGCTGGATTAAAGGATTCTCCCTCCCAGCAGAGGCACAGCCAGAACTCAGGGCTCCCTGCTTACTGAGCTAGGCCTGGAGCTAGGATTTAGCAGTATTCAGGGGTCTCATATAGCCTATTTTGCAGCACTTGCTTACAAAGATTGTCCATTCTTAGCAACAATACAAGCTTTCCGAGCAGCAGGGACAAATGGGGACAAAGGGCCTTTGTGAGGCCCGTGGAGCAGGAGGCTGTTCACTCACAGTTGACAGGATCATGGAGAACTTTGTCCTGCTTCATCATGCCTTTGGCAAGCTTGAAATTCCCACATAGCTACTGATTAAAAGCAAACCACTTTTTCAAAATTGGGGGCAGGTTTTCTCAGGAGATTTGCTTCTCCAAACATAGCATAAAAGGTTAGGGGGAAAAAATAAACTGAGATTGCCTATATATGGTAATTTACTTTAACTCAGGCAAACGTGTTAACTTTCCTATATTTTTAACACTATCAGTCATGAACATGTTCCTTGTTCCATCACAAATCGGCTGACAGGGTATCTTTGTGTATAAAGCAGGTTGATGGCTATGGTAGCACATGTATGTTTATTCTCAGTTCCTTTTGCCTTTTGTGACACAGACTTAAACAAACAGGCATTTAAATTCCTAACACATAGATGATATG